ATTTTGTTCGATGTACCTTCGAGATGTCAATCGCTTTGAAAGAAACGAAGACGTTGTCATTGAAAAAACAAAGTTTTGGATGTTTGAGTCCAAGTGTCGACCGACGAGTGCAACGCAAATCAAACATCTTGATATAACAGAGAAACGTAATATTGAATGGTTTATATTGAATAGTTGTCAAGAAGTCAGACAATACATCGAGTAAGTGTTCTTACTTTTAATTATCTTTCATTATTTATTGTTACTTTTTTCCATTCATTAATTTAATATATATATATATATATAATATATATATATATATATATATATATTTCATCAATATAGAAAATTCAAATATGAACATCCTGAAAGTGACGAAATGACCGAATTTCCCAGTTGGTTTCTTGAAAAGGTAATCATAATTAACAAACAAATATCTTTCATAAATTTAATGAATCAAGAATACATAACACATCAACATATGTTTAATAGGTTTATCAGCTGGAAAAAGAAAACTCTCCTGAATTCCACAAAGAGTTGTCAGCCCTTTCAATGGGTTCACAAATGGATGTTTATACTTACACTGTGTGCATAGTCAACGGTGTTAGGTTTATGGTACTTAGTCGTGATGCACAACGCAAAACGCAAAACTCTGGGGTTCTAGCGGTTGGTGAGAATGGAGAGAAATATTATGGCCAGTTAGAAGAGATTATGGAGGTGCAATATCCATATGATTATTCGACTGTAATATTTCGCTGCAAGTGGTTTGATACGGGAGATATTCCTGATGATAATTTCATAAGTATCGACACAGAAAAAGAAGCGTACCAAGATGATCAACTCATATATGCTTCGCAAGCCAAACAAGTGTTCTACATCCGCCAGCCTGTTAATCATCGAAGAAACCAAAACAACAACCCTCGTTGTATCGTCGAGCATGTTAATCATTGAAATATTTGGGATCTACCATCCGACAATCCTCGTGTCCAAAATGCTTACAGTGACTCTATCCAAGATGTCGACAATGTGGAGGCCGAAAATGTTGACATAGTTCAAAACAACTCTTCATCTGGAGCTAGACTTTTTATTGACTTCTCACAATACTTTCAAAACAATGTTGATGTAGCTCAAAACAATGTTGATTATGATGATGAACCTAACACCGTTGACTATGCACGCAGTGTAAGTATAAACAATGTTGATGTAGCTCACAATACTTTCAAAACTGATTATGATGATGGCGATTCTGATTATGATACGGATGAAGAAGACATTGAATTATATGATCAAGATTCTGATTAAAAAATCATTTTTTTTTGGTAATAGAAACTTTATTTGAAATGTAACTTTAATTCATATTGTTTGTTTAAGTTTTATTTATGTTGTTTGTCTATATTGTATATCTTACAATTTCGCAGGGTAACTAACTTTTATTCATATTGCATATGAGGTTTACTTGGGCAATACTCTTGGCCATGATGGCCGATGTTATGGGGCTTGGACACGGAGGTGATGGAGTCGGGGATCCACCACCTCCAGGAGGCTTTGGTCGTGGTCAGCACGAACAAGATGGTGAGTTTTATTCTGATATATTTATTAACTATTTTTATTATTTTATATTAAATTATCATGACTAATATGTTTAATTGTATTTTTGCAGCCGAGCTTCCTAAAAAAAGGAGAGGCATGTCAAAAAATATTGAGTTGGGAAAGTTGATAAGGGCAAATAAGGGAAAGCCCATAGATTTGGATTTCGATAGGGAGATCACATATTCCCCTATGATTGTTATTTAATTAACTAAACTTTTTGTGTTTTGCAGAATAAATTTGATTTGGATAAGGTTAACATGGATCTGGAGCGTGCTCAATTGTTGCGGTGCATTGATTCAAGTCTTGCAAAAGTTTACAGAGGTCGAAAAAGTAAAGCTCATGCTTATTTTAAGGAAATCGGGGGGCCTGCAGATATCCAAGCTGCATTAAACAACCCCCCTAACGGAATGTCACATGAAAATTGGGCAAAGGCAGTCGAACATTTTCAAACGCCAGAATTTTTAAGGCGTTCGGCGTCAAACAAGGAATGTCGTGCAAAACAAGTAGTTGTAAACAGAGGGGGGTCGAGCTCATACAGCAATGCATGTTTTAAAGAGGTAAGTTATGATATATTTAAATATTTATTTAAAGTATAACTAATCTAAATTTTAATGTTAAATAGGATATCAGTCGAATCGAAGCTTTTCGTAAAGCTAATTCCAATCGCCAAGGGGTATTTTATAGTCCTGCAGTCGAGCAACAATACGCAAGTGGTTAATTTGTATTTTTCATATAAGTGTTTATATCGTCAAATGTATTTAGTAATCTAATTTTTATGATTTTTATTGTTTTTAAAAAATACAGAATGCTTTACTCGAAGAGATAAACCAACGAACCCAAGCTACTTTTGAGGCAAGCGGTCTAGCACCAACTGATATAAAAGATTGTTTTGAAAGAATATTGGGTGTTCGACGCGGACATATCAGAGGCATTGGGCGTAAACCCCCTACCGTTGTGTCTATGTGCGATCAGCAACAACCAATGACACAAGAACAACCACAATCACAGGTAATTGTTAGTAAATGCTATAATGGAATGGTATAATTAATTATAATGTTATTATGATATATTGTTAATATATTTTGTTTTTTTATAGTTGCAAATGCTCCAAACAATACTACAGGACCCGGCTTGTTCTGCAGCATTGGAAGAGTGGTTTCGCTCATTGCCGCCACTAAATAATGGAGATGATGATGAGGACGAGTAGTTATTTTAGGATTTTATGAAACGTTTTGTAATGCGAAACAATACTAAATGTGGTATATATATGGATTAATATTTTGGAATTTTATGTATTAATATTTTGGATTGATTTTATGTATTAATATTTCTATATAAAATTATCAGATTTTTCAAATGCTATATGGATTAATATTTGGATTGATTATAAATTTAATGTGAAATAAATAAACAAAAAAAAATTAATAAATCAAAAGAGCATTAGCAGCGACGGGAATAGTGGCGACGGCGTCCTATTAGCGGCGACGGGCAGCATTAGCGACGACGGGAGTATTAGCGGCGACACCAAGTATTTGCGGCGACATTGAGCGTATTAGCGACGAATCAATACCGGCGACGTATTTGCAGCGACATGTCGCCGCTAAAGGTATTAGCGGCGACACGCCTAACCTTTAGCGGCGACGTGTGTCGCCGCTGTTGCCCAATCTTCTTGTAGTGTGAATAACCCACCTCGATCAGCTTTATACAGTGAGATGTTTTGTGGCGATGGTGGAGCCACTTTAGGGTTAGGATTTCTAGTGTGTGATGGTGGCGTTGATCGTGGAAGCGAGACAGAGTTAGGGTTTCTCATCTCGATAGAAGGTAGAAGCGGGCGGCAGACCCAGTGAAGGTAATGGCAACGTCAGGAGGTTGGTGGTAACCAAGGCTACCGGAGATTGAAGAGAATAAGGAGGGAGACGAAAGAGATCCGGAAGAAATAACGGCCAATGGAAGATATTAGGTTTTTCCAACATCTAGACATATAACACCATAAGTTACGGTACGATGATATCGTGTGTGTATATATTCTAAGCTTAATAGGATTGTATATGGTGTTATAAGAGTTATACCTCTTATTTTCAAGAAATATGCAATATGTTTAATAATATAGTAAAGATTTGCCCAAATTTATTAAAAAAATATTTGGAGTATTTTTGAATTTGGAGTATTTAATTTAGACAAATTTTGAAGGTAAAAAGATTTAATTTTGCAAATGTGGGTTTTGGTGTTAGGGTTTAGCAAGGAATTCGCCTTGTACTAAGAGGTACGTCTCTCTTAAACCCTAGTTTCTCGTCATCCATGCATTACTATATCAATTTCCGCTGGCTAATTAACCTTATAATTCAGAGACCTGAGCATTAATTCGAGTTTCATCCATCGGGATGATTTTACTTTGAACTTCTTTTTTATCATTATCGTGCATTAGTTGATTGGAGGTTCATAGATTAAGATATTTAAACAAGCAAGCGACCATACTATCAGGAACAAAGTAGAGCTTTTTGTCAGATGTACGTATTAACGAGTATATGTTTATTTCACTGATCTGTGTGGACTGTGGAGTGGTTAATATCTATATGATCAATACTGCATTACTTACAAAAGACTACGATTTCTGTCAAAGATTGACACGGATGTTTAAGATTTTTAGTTTTAATTTGTTATTTTTTATGGTGATGGCTATTTATTTGTTTGATGTAATCGTCATTAACACCTCTAATCAAAATAATTATTATGAAGTTCTTGAAGTTTTTAAGTAACGTATTTCAGATCATTGTTATATTATAAACATTAGTTTGACAGGTGATCAGACTATTATTAGCCTATTGGAATTGGGGATTTTCTTGTTATATATATGGTTGTGTTGTATGAAATTACTTTTCTATATTTGTTCTTGTGGTATTAATTCTACTTATTTTGGGCATTTATACATTTGTATCATAAATGAAAATTTGGTTCCATAATATGTTTGAAAAGGAAGGCTAGGTGTAGGATGTAGAGTTATATCATTGTTGTTCACTTGCAGAAAAGGAAGAAGGCAAGTCTTGTTTAGAATAACAATCATACACTTATCAGCTAGCTAAAAGATTTATCAAATTTGCAAATAGCCTTAATACATTAATGAAGTGGCAATAATATACAAGATGTGATTTGATGTATCAGTGTTAGAAAATAAACTTTGTGCATTAGACCCTCAAGGGAGCCCATGAGATGATAAGACCAGCCTTATTAGCAGCACTACCTGATGCATTATTGATGCTATGTACTAACTAACCTGTGTTCCTTATTTAGTTGGTGTTGTTTGCATTAGGACGCAACATGTATAAGGAAATATTATTCTCTGCTATCCAAGTAATTCATTTAACTTTTACATTATGAAGTGCAGATTATCATTAGATACGGGAATGTGATTCGTGGAGGCAAAAAAAGAAAGAATGATGGTAGAAGATAGATTGAGCAGCTTGCCAGATGAGCTTATTCATAAGATTCTGTTTTGTTATGACATGAAATTTGCTGTTCAGACATGTTTGTTGTCATCAAGATGGAAGCTTGTCTGGACATTGTTGCCCTGTCTCTACTTCTCAAGTCGGGAGTTCCGTACTTTACATAAGTTTGCCGAATTTGTGACTCATGTTCTGTCTCATCGCAACCATCAAATAGAAGTGTCTTCCGTAAAGCTACATTTCTATGGAGCTGCTAATAAGGATTTTGTGAGAAAGATTGCAAACTATGCATTTTCTCACAATGTTCAAGAACTAACTGTCTCTAGTTCGTGCTCAAATAGCCGCAAAGTTTACCCTTCTTGCCTATTTAGGTCTCAGTCTCTTAAACATTTCACAATGACTTGCAATTATATGCAACTTTGCACTACTAAAACTGGAGCACCTTTGGATTTTCCATCTTTAACAACTTTGAATCTCAGTTACATCACATTGTCGGGTGATCTTTTCTCCAAGTGCGTAAACTTAAAGAATCTCACTTTAGAATGGTTCACCATCAAGGATGTGGAAGTATTTGACATCATTACACCTCGTCTTTCTAATCTCATGCTTATCCATGGCAGACGTTCGATAACAATCAATGTGAATGCACCTCGACTTGAGAATCTCACAATAAGCAATTGCTATTTCAGTTCCTTGAATGCTCCACCAGGACTTTCATCTTTGTGCTACACATTTCAGCTGTCGCCTTGTAGTTTTGTGCGATTCTCTAATGATCAGTTTCATTCTCTAAACGAAGTGACTATCTGTTTGTCTGACTGTTAACCAACCATGCCATGTAATGAGGAAGGTGCTCGCAAAATTATTAACATTCTTCAACAGTTCCATAGTGCCAGATATGTTACACTTAACGCGGACATTGTTGAGGTTTGTTGATATCATATCACTCATTTGTGACATTCAGTTACTTGTTGCAATCTGAAAAAGGAAAACAATATGACAACATGGCTTATTTCTTTTAATCTCCTTTAAGAAGAATCTATTGGCAGTTCTAGCATTTCATATACATGGCATCTTGTTCTCACCCGGACTGTAATCACAGAACATTGTTTCCACCGGTAGACTTCAAATATTGATTTCTAGTATCATGTTGTTAGTTACATGAAAAGTTGTTTTTTCATGTCCGTTTTCTTCTGTTTCTGAAATGTGAGGATTAGCTTCTTATGCTTACCACAGCATATTAATTATCCACATTACTAGCTACACATACACTACTGATATGTATATTCATGCATGTTTAATGTATATATATCTTGTCATTTCTGTGCAGTATATTTCCTTATTTCCAGATTTGGTATCTCAACATCCTCCGCCCTTTAGCAACTTGATTTGCTTGACTATGGACTACCGCAAGAAGAAGGATGCAATCATAGTAACAAAGTCTACTGAAGCTAGAAATTTCTTTCTTGAGAACTCTCCAAACGCCAATTTTACCATGCTATTACCCAAGGTACTTACTTTAATCAGAATCATATTTTCATCCCTTCCCTGTCCTTGACCTTGCATTGATTTAAAGTTAATGCATTTCATTCATCCATTACATGTTACTCTACTCGCAAGGGTTATTTAGCCTAACACTTTATTATCTTAACATTGTATATCTCAGGTTCATAGTAGAAGATGATGGATGCTTGAAAGTGGTTTTTGTTTACCTATGGACTGGTGGATTATGGTGATAGGAAGACCCCAACCATTGACACAACACCGCCAAGCCCAAATCAGAAGTGGGTCAATTTGATTCAGTTACAAGCTCCGACTTTTTAATTCCATGCATGTTTTAATTTTGTGTCTTTGTTATTTAATTTGAACTTATCATAACAGTTAGTTGGTTCTCCACTCAAAATAAGATCGTGGGAACTAGTAGAGTAGCGGTTATTTTGCTTTCACATTATGTACTGGAAATTGGGAATGAAAAGTTAATTCTTAGATTTTCAAAGTTTGTGCTATTCTCTGACACTTCAGAAGAATTTAGTGTCCCTGCTATTCTAATTTTTAACAGGTAAATTAGAAGGTGAACTTGGACAACTAACTCTTAGTTTTCGTGGTGAACCTGTATCGAAAACCAAGGTTAGATTTCCATCTGTTTATTGATTTGTATCAAGGGTATAACGGTCCTAATCTAGCAATAGTGCTATTATATAGTATCCTATATTCCTATTTATGGACTTTTGTTTGCGTATGGTGGATTTGCCTTTTAAGAAGACAATGTATATATTTTTGTTAGCTTTTAGTATGTAATTATGTGGTAAATGTCTTCTTGGATTATGTGGTTACAACCTATAGTAAGTAAAGGTTTGAAGCTTCCGCTAGACACATGATATGTGTACTTATATTTTAAAAATGATATTATGCTAGTCTGAAAATTACAAGTTTTACAAAACCCCTACCAAACTTTCAGCAGGCAGGTGGGCATAATAGAACCCACACAATTTCCTAACCATAATTGATCAATATACTCTTTATTTAGTCTTTACACGACTTTATCGTTTCCAGGTATACATATTACCGCATAATTTGTGTAATTATTATAACACTGATCTCAGTTGATAAATCAACTTAAATACCCTTACATCCAACTATTGTGTACACACTCCAGAATTTAAAGCCAAAATTTACCTTAATTCTGATTTTGCACCAAACTTCACCAATTTTGGACATGAAAATAAACTTAAAGAATATTCAAGAAAAGTTAAAGGTGCGTTTGGTTGTGGAAAATTGCTTTCATTTTTCAAGAAAATGTTTCAGACAATAGAGTTGAATATTTATTTTTAGTTTCCAATGAAATTTTTGAAAACAAGTTTGGTTGTGGAAAATTGTTTTCATTTTCCAATAAAATGTTTCAGACATTAAAGTTGAATTTTTTTAATTTTAGTTTCCAATGAAATTTTTGAAAAGGCATTTGGTTGGTGCAGGTGGAGTTTTATTTTCCATCTTATAAATTTAGAAAATTTTGGAATAATATAAAAACCACTCTTCTAATTTCCATACAATTTGGAAAAAATAAAAATTTTTATTTTCTTAAAAAACTTTAGAAAACTACACGAACCAAACGTGTTTTTCAAAAATTTTGTTTTTTTGGAAAATTTTCCACAACCAAACGTACTCTAAAGCTCAATAATGGGAGAGAAACTTGTGTAAAACTTCATTGGGGGAAGCAGGTTGCAAAAGGCCCATAATACCCTATATGCCATATTATTCCTTTATTTATTGCATATGGATGAGATGTTCTCTTTAATGGTTAAATTCTTCCATATCCTATTTAGTACAAAATCATTATTTGGATCATCCAAAGGAGAGTGTGTGTGTATATATATATATATATATATATATATATATATATATATATATATATATATATATATATTGGTGGGCTTTCTTGAAACATAGCACTTTGTGCTTGATTTTCCTTGCAAACTAGTGAGCACTTTGTTTTTGATTTTCTAGTGACCGGTAATAGATGTGTTCTTTTTCTAGATCCAATCCGATGAGATGAATCCAAATTCTTTAGAATATTTAAACCCGGACTTGAAACACATGAACACAAACATGATGCATCTTTCTAGAACTATTATTACAACTTGTAGATAAATTTGGATTTAAAGAAAACTAGTTATAATAATGCAACGTCTGAAAATATATACAGTAAATTTGTTATTTTTAATTATAGTAAAACCATCCAAACATCGGGGTAATCAAAGTATGCGTTTGAAGTTCCAAATCAAATACAAAGTAAATAACATAAAAGTCAATAGCTCGGAATTTCTAGTGGATAAGATGCAATCAGGTTATGCTCTTTCCCTTGCTACCATAACAACCTGAAACATTTAAACTTGAAACCATAAGCCGAAAGCTTAGTGAGTTCCCCAAAATACCATATACTATACATAAATAACAGGCCCACCCAATAAACATATTTCAATTATGCGGGCCTCACGCAACAATATACATATAAACGAGCCTCGGCCAAAAAGAAATCATACAAACAAAATTCACAAAGATAATAAGAATACAATGACACCCTGTATCTTACATAGTATAATGAGAAGACTCACCTAAATCTAGAGTCAAAATGACAGAACACCAAGTCATGCAAGATCATCTACGTGCACTCCCTAAACCAACCATATGTCAAACCTTAGTCTATAACTCAAAACCTCCAAGTTTGACCAAAAATCAAACCAGTCAAAAAGTCAACATAGTGGAATCGTAACATCGAGTCGTAGAATCGTTCCGATCTTCCATTTCCCATGTTTTTCCCATTTGAGCAATGTACTTTACATTCCAACTTCAAATGACCATAACTTCTTCAAATGTACTTGGATTTTGATGATCTTTATATGTACATATTCGTATTCGAGTCAACTACAACTTTCTTTTAGATAAATACGGCTAAAAACTAATATATTTTTACTTTTAGATAAATACGGCTAAAAAAGAATAGAAGGCACGTGAACTCGACAATGAGTTACAAAATATTGTCATATGAGACTCCACTATTATGGATTATTGGACCTAGATCAAATCAATATCCGACCTTCTTGCTAACATCAGGTGCCCGATGTCGGAAAAAAATTTGGTTATATATGCCATCAATGGATGAGACACCATTATTATGGTATATTGCACACGGATCAAATCAATATCCAACCTTCTCGCTAACATGGGGTGCCCGGTGTTTGAACGAAATTTGGTTATATATATGTCATCAATGGATTGTCTCAAAAGTATGTTCATATTGTCACTACAATTCGTCATCAAAATTAAACTATTTTCAACCTTTCTCGAGATCGGTCCATGTTAACTCTTAAAGAACGCTCTCTAAATAAGGATCACAACTGCATCATGCAAGCCTTGCATCAAGACAGTTCATCCTCTCCTATGATTTTAAATGTCGAGCATCAACACTGGAATCAAGCCTCTTCTCGTGCTGGTTATCTAGTGGTTGAGGCAGTGATCAGAATCAACATGGTGGCAATGGGGGTCGGAATGGCCGGTGTGGTGGTTGAGGCAAGTTTGGCGGTGGCATGCCTAATGGCAGGGGATCTTCTTTATTAGCTAGCGGCCGAAGAGAATCTTCTTTGTCGCCAATGTATTATCCACCTCAACATAGGCTCCTTCCCATGCCATCTATTATGTCCTAATGGCATAATTCACCTTACAATCACAACCCCCTTATGTTTGGCCCAATTATGTCCCCAATAATTCCAGCTGGCCCACAACTACTGCAACCCAAACTCCACATGCATTTTATTCCAATGCCAACCCAATTTACAGCCTATAATTTGCAATTTTTTCAGTATCCTTCACGCTCGGACCAAGCCACCTCACTCCTTCAATCTTTTAGCTCTATAAATCTCCAAGATCCAGGAAATTTGGAATGGTATATAGACATGGGGGCAATTACACATCTTCATAATAATTTAGGTATACTCAACTCTTTTAGCGACAAGTGCATCGATAAATAAAATCACTTTTCATCGATAAATACCTAAATTATTGTGAAAGAGTTGATTAATTAGCAATATTTTTAGTCTTCCTTTGTTTGTAAATATATATATATATATATATATATATATATATATATATATATATATATATGTCGATTCCTAGCACCACTCAGCACTTGTGGCCATGGAGGTTCGTCTGCAATGACTCCAGTGCATGAGGCAAAGCTTTATGTTTGCAGCGGGGAATTAGTCGGTGCACGAAAGCTGGCCTGGAAACCCTCGTTAGGGAAGTTCCCTTTTCAAAAAAAATATATGTCA